GCGTCGCTCAACGCCGCCGCCGCGCGCGAGGTCAGCCGACGAGCTCGACGCGCTCATGTTCTCCTCGCCGACCGAGCCGTCCGCGCCCGCCCCGCTCGCGCCGCCCGCCGCCCCGTTCGCGGCCGGGCGGTCCGTTTCGCCGCGCCCGTCGCCCGGTACGGAGGGCATGCGGCTGCACAACAGGGAGCCCGAGGGGCGCCCGTCGCAGGAATCGTCGTCGCCAACGTCCCCTCGCAGCCCGTCCGGGACGTCGAACCCGCCCCCGCCCCAGCAGCAGCGTGGGCCATACCCGCCCCCGCCGAACATCAGCCTCCCGCGCCCGTCCTTCGGCAGCAACACGTCGTCCTCGACCATGGGCGGGGGGAACACGCCGTACAGCACCCCGCCCGAGTACCCGCGCAACGGGTCCTCGACGTCGCTGGCCTTGCCCAAGACGCTCCCGCCGCCGCCCGCCTCGTCCGCGAACGGCAAGATCTCCGCCGCCGCGTTCCGGCAGCGGCAGCAGGCGAGCCGCAACGCGTCCCAGGGGAGCCTCGTCGGCGGCGCGGGCGGCAGCCCCGTGCTGGGCGGCGGCGGAGCAGGGCCGGCGGACGTGGCGCCGCTCGCGTTCAAGAAGCGGCCGCTGCCGAGCTCGCCGTACCCCCAGCGCGGTCCGTCGCCGAACCCGAACCCGAACCCGACGCTGTCGCAGCTGCAGCAGGAGGAAGGGGCGGCGCAGTCGCGCGAGTCGCTGCCGTACCCGCGCCGCCCCGGCGCGGCGGCGGAGGAGCAGCGGCCGATGTCGACCGCGTCGAGCGAGTTTGACTATATCTCGGCGTACATGGGCGACGACGGTGACGGCGAACGGAGGAGCGGGGAGGGGTTGCGCTGAGGGGAGAGGGAGGATGCCGTGGGCGCCCGTGATCGCGCCAGAAAAGTATCCATGGGCTCGCGAGCGCAAGCTGCATATATGTTCTTGTCGACTGTCGGAACGGAAACACTCTGATACCCCCCATGACTTCCCGTATGCAAAGTCCAAACCCTGTATGAAAGGCCGTCGTGTACTCTTACAGCCCTTATTCAATGCAAGCGATCGCTGTCTTGTAATGTCGGGCCTTGGACCGAGCCACACACAGAGACTACGAAGAGATGAAAAGGTGAAGAGAAGAATCGGATTCCGCGTCTGCGTGGTATAGTACAGGGGGGTGGATATCCTAGGTATGGGGGAGAGGTCGGAGTGGGTGTGGACAGACAACAAAAGTCAGGCTAGGAAAAAGAGCTTCTCTTTTGTCTCTCATACAAGAAATATTGCGAGGGGGTTTCGTACTGCCGTCTGCTATATGCCCTCCTTCCTCCTCGCTTCCGGATGGAAGACTGCAAACGAGTCTAGCAGCAACCGCCTGCTGTGGTCGCCTGCGAGGGCTGGTTGACGCGCACGGAGCCGTCCGCACCTGACGCGCCGCCCTGCGCGCCGGCGGCGTCGGCTTGCGAATCGATAAGGCGGGTCTTGATGTCTCTGCGGGCGAATGCGGGTGTTTTTTTTTTTTCGGTCAGCGTTTGTGAAAACTGTAGAGAGGACGGAGTGCGTATGTATGTACCTTGCCAGCAAGAAGAAGGCCTCCTCGACGCCCTCGTTCACCTTTGCGGAGGTCTCCATAAACTTGATGCCGAGCTCGTCGGCGAGGGCCTTGCCCTGCTCCTCAGTCACGGCCCGCTTGTCCGACCAGTCACACTTGTTGCCGATGAGGATCTTGTTGACGCCTTCCGAAGCGTGCTGCTCGATATTGGCGTGCCACGTTCGGATGTCTGGAAGAAGACGAAGAGGAGTGTGAAGGCGGTCAGGAGGGGAAGGAGGGGAACACGGTTATCAGGGCGGTCTGTTACGCACTGTTGAAGGAGCGCTCGTCGGTGACATCATACACGAGCAGGATGCCCATGGCGCCGCGGTAGTACGCGGTCGTGATCGTCCGGAAGCGTTCTTGTCCGGCGGTATCCCACTGCGCCCCGGTATCTCAGAGCGCCACAAGGGGGAAGGCGAGGGCACGATGTACGCACTATCTGGAGCTTGATACGCTTCCCGTCGAGCTCAATGGTGCGAATCTTGAAGTCGATGCCGATGGTCGTGATGAAGGACGGCGTCCAAGCGTCGTCGCAGAACCGGAGCAGCAGGCACGACTTGCCAACGCCTGGAAACAATGAGGCGTCAGTTCCGCACGTTCGGACGCTCCAGAACGCAGTTACCAACCGGAGTCACCGATCAGCAGGAGCTAACAGACGTAGGAATGTCAATTCAAGCTCTCTGTTCGCCCCGAAACCAGCAACTGCGGCACACCTTGATGAGGAAGTCGTAATGAGGCGGGGGCATCTTGGTTGACTGTCGTTACACTAGAGACAAGAAACAAAGAGGGAAGGTGTCTATAGGATTAGGACAGGAGGAGGGTAGCACGAGAGAGATACGACGAGCGCTAGAGGGTTGGTGTAATTGGAGCGTCACCGTCGAGTGCTGAGGTATATGGCGCCAATGTGGCCGGGCGGTGCGCCGGTGCCTGCCTTGACCGCGTGGTCCGGGAGGGAAACGCCCCTATTCCCATCGAAACCCCCTCCCTACGCGAGAGGTGATCTGCAAACTTGCCACCGTATTATACCGTCGCCATGTAAGATCCATTTATTACGGATGTATACGTTCAGTGATGACTGACACTGCGGCGCAATATGTACTCTGGCATCCCATACATCCCCGGCGCGCGGAGGCATCTCTTGTTCGCAACGACTATGTACTGCCCTTCCGCCACACTGGGAATCTATCTCTGGTACCAAGCAACGGTCCAAACGGCCGCCCCGGTCATGAAACCCAATTCACCCAAAGCGATAGGCTGCCAACAAGTTACACTCTGAAGCGGCAACGACTAGCGTGCATCTCAAGCGAATATACGTATACGGTAATGAGATCCACCCGAAAGGACAGGGGGGTTTGAGCAGGTAAGGTAGTACACCAGCGAGTTGAAATGCTGACACCAAGTTCTACGCGTGGATAGATTCGAACAAGATTGGCTCCCATCCAGCATACTTCAGGTTCAACAATCCGGGCTGCAATGGCACACCGATCCGTTCGTCCCACAGTTGGTTCTTTTTGATCACCGCCTCCGAGTCAGTCATCTCGACGCGAGTCTGAGGCCGCGGAAGGGGAACGACTCACACTTGGGAGCAACAGATGGCCTGCAGAGGTTCAGGGCTTATCCCGCTGGGGCTCGGTGCACCTTGTACGCTCGTCAATCTACTCCCCCCCGCATCGGTTGCAAGTCAGCACGACAGGCAAATAATCATAAGACGCGCATCGTACGAGTAACAGAGGATGAGCGTGATGCTCAAGAGCAGTGCAGACGACCGGCGAATCATCACGATAGAGAAGCCCGGCGAAAGGAGGGACGGTGTATATAGCGGCGCCGGGTTGACAAAACGCCTGCAAGCAAGGCGGGATCACCCTTCGGTTTTATATCCATTTCCTTATCTTCCTCGCAGGCGCTCCCGGTCATAGTTCAAGCACCCCATCATTCGCAGTGAGCAACGCTAACAGTATATATATAGACTCATACCGTATGACAACGAAGATTAGACTGGGAACAAAAGATGCTGAGAGCGACAGCGTGAGGAGTGGCATATGAACAAGGTTCACTCAGCAAAGGCCGGATCTCGCTACATCCCGTGGCCAGCGGTTCGTTCAATCGACCAGACAATTCCTCCGAGGACGTGCGAGAGAAACCGCTCGTCGTGCCAGATCTCTTCGGTATGCCCCAGCGCCGTGTAGAAGCTGCAACCCGGCCGTCCGCTCTCGTTCGTCGCTAACACGACTTTTCTCAGTTATGCTTCGCACGCGGTCGTTCGTCTCTCGTACCTCCGGGGTGCAAGCGATTGGATGCGGTGATCCACGGTCGAAACGCCTCGTCCCTTCGTCCACGTATGTGGACTCGTCGACCGTCAGGACCACGGACGCTCCGGGCGCGCGCGGGTCCGAGCGGAAGTTGTAGACCTCGTCGAACACGGCCCAGCGTCGGGGGGAGGCGCTTCGTGCTCGGATGCGACGGATCGGCGACCTCGATCACCTACACAGTCCGAAGAGTCCCGTCGCTGAGCTTGCCGTAACGAGATAGGAGCGCCAGAAGGAAGCGTGACTTGCAGCGTTCTGGGGGTCTGGATGGTAGTCGAAGAAGGCGCCTGAGCGACTCGCAACGTCAGCGTCGAGACACCAAACTCGTCCAACCAACCAACCAACCAACCAACCCCCCCCAAAAAAAAAAAAACCCGACGTAACCGACCCACTCGGTCGAGGAAGAACTCGTCCTGGCAGAGAGAAGCCGAGGCGCAACGGACGCCGACGAAGTTGCCGCCTCCGTCGAAATACATGCGTAGCGCGCCCTTGCCCGCGTCGTCAAGAACTGCCGGACGATGTCAGATATCGGTCCACCGCAGTGCGCTCAGATGTGGTACATAGCGTATCCGTACCTTCGCCGATGGTGCTCAAGAACACGACCGCGTCGTACCGAGAGAGAACATCGTCGCGGAACCAGCCTTTGTCTTCCGTAGCGTCGACGTCGACGTCGATGTCACTCGCCGATTGCTTGAGCGCTTCGACGGCGGTCAAGATGCTGTCGTGCCGGTAACCGTCCGTCGCGCCGTAGATCAAGATACGCGGCCTCTTCGCCATGGCGGACGCACGAAAGCCCAAGTATTGTACGAGACGACTGCTTAGAGCGATACAGACAGCACCGACTGCTCCGGGAGATCAAACGCTGATGCCCGAATGGCCGGGAGCTTTGCTTTCCGATAACGTCACCGTCAAGAACATACTCCAAGCATCCCGAGGTACTTCCAGCCCAGGTTCACGTTTAGAGCGCGTTGGGCGCCAAGCTCAAGGGCGAATATGATGCTGTTCGCCGTTTCTAAGGCAAGATATGAACTGGAAAACGTCTTCTATTGGCGTTCTCAGGGGCGTGCACTGCTGCAGCATCGCCCCAGGAGCGCCGGGCAGGCACCGGGGGTGGAACACGGACCGCAGTGAGTAGTGACATCAGGACGAGAAAAGAGCAGGTGAAAGAGCGAGAGCGGGTCTAATCCCGGGCTACACGTCCCCTCCACCACCACCTCCGCCGTCACTCGACGTTTACATACTCCGGGACAAACTCGTAAACCCCCTGCTTGTCAGATAATTATCGTATATCGTGCCTGTTGCTGAAACGTTGAACTGCCGCTACGGTCGCTGGCCGGCCTTCACCTACTCCCCGACAATGCACAACCTACTCTCGGGCGGCAAGAACAAGTCGCACTTGTCGATCAAGGAGGCGCTGTTACCGCAACCGCCCTCGTTCGTGAAGAAGAGGAACTATGAGATACACGCGAAGCTGGGAGAAGGGACGTTTGGCAAAGTGATGGTGAGTCGCGAGGAGCCTATATGCGATTGAGCGGGGGTCACGATCGGGGCACACGAATATATCATTGCTCTTGTGATGACGTTGTGCTTGCGGGGAGAAGCTGCTGCACGGGCAGGCATATTCCTGAGCTATAGACGTGGCACTGCCGTTTTCCGGACATGTCCAGTTCCTGGGTTCCGAGGAACGAGGATGACTGGAGACAAGCTCGGATTGCGCCACCTCCCGCCGCCCATGGGCTCCTCGAGGACTTCGGGTGCATTCCTCCACGAACGAAGCAAGGGGGTGCTCCGCCTGAACCGAAGCTGACTCTGCTCTTGTACCGCAGCGAGCGACCTGGCACGTCCCTCCCGAACAAGCCCGCGTCGCGCAGTACGGTGCCGCCATATCCCCGCCTGCTCTGCCCACCGAATCCAGCGCATCCTCTTCGTCGAACCTCAGCACGCACTCTAGCGCTTCAGGGTCATCCGCGACGTCCGGCGTCTCCGCGGGATACTTCAATGAATCGCCGGGCAAGCCATCGGGGTAACATAACCCATCCGTTTTTAGACGTGGATTCGGGTCTAATACGGCACGATGATATCGATAGGCTCACGAAGGATGTCGCGCTGAAGGTCATACCGAAGAAAAAGGTGAAGGGGAATGAGGCGAGCGTATGGGGTGAGATGGAGGTGTTGAAAGGGTTGGATCACCCGAACATCGTGCGTCTTTTGTCAGGAAGGTCCCGGGTTTCGAGCTCATCGACCCTTTTGCAGGTGAAATTCTACGAATGGTTCGAGTCGCGGTCGAAGTACTACCTTTCCTTCGAACTGGCGACGGGCGGAGAGCTGTTCGACCGGATATGTCAGAAAGGAAAGTTCACCGAGAAGGTAACACACGTCTTCACCGCCTGTCTGCGTTTTTGTTGACGGCAACAACGTTAGGACGCTGTGCACGTGGTGCGCTCCATCCTATCCGGCGTCAAGTACCTGCACGACCACGATATCGTCCATCGCGACCTGAAGTACGCGAGCGCCCCATAACCTAGTCATGATCCCGTTGCTGAGCTTCCCTCAGACCGGAGAACATCCTCTACCGCACGCCAGACCCGGATTCGGACATCGTCATCGCAGACTTTGGCATGTGCGTTTCGCCACCCCCTCGCCCTTGGGCCGCCGCACCCTGTCTGAACACACGTCCTTTCTTTGCTCTGCAGCGCCAAGCACCTGCACTCCACCGACGAGCAACTGCATTCTCTCGCCGGAAGCTTCGGTTACGTCGCACCCGAAGTACTGAACAAGGCTGGGCACGGAAAGCCCGTCGACGTCTGGACAACAGGGTGAGTCATGTTCCCTTCCCCGTCCGTCCGAATGTCGTCGCGATTTCGCTCTGACGTCGACGGTTTTTTCCAGCATTATCACCTACGTGTTGCTGTGCGGCTACTCCCCCTTCCGATCCGAAGACGTGAAGGACCTCGTGCGCGAGACGACGGAGGCCAAGATCGAGTTTCACGACCGATATTGGAAGAACATCTCTGATCAAGGTGCGTTTCCTTCCAAGCCTTGCCGCCAACACGGAGGTTTACCCAATCGTGCTCTGTGCAGCGAAAGCGTTTATCAGGCGCTTGCTGCAAGCCGACCCGTCCAACCGGCCCACGGCCGCGGAAGCATACAATGACCCGGTGGGCGCTTTTCGCTCAATCCTCTTCCAATTCTCTCTTCTCTCCCTCTCTCTCTCTCTCTTGTACTGACATCACCCTCCTTCTCGTGTCCAGTGGCTCACGACGTACGAACCCTCGTCCGAAGAAGACCTCCCCGGCCTGCGCGAGAATTTCGACGCCAAGTCCAAGTGGCGCCAGGTCATCGGCTCCGTGCGCGCCGTGCAGCGCATGAGCACGCTCTCCCGGCGCGCGAGCCAGTCGAGCATGAGCAGCACCGCGAGCGAGGCCAGCGGCGGGTGGCGCGGCGGCGCCGGCGATGAGGACGACGACGACGACGACGACGAAGGGCAGGCGCATAAAGTGCCGGACGACCCGGGCTCGAACGAGCACGTAAACGTGCTGCCGCCCGAGGAGGACGGGGACACGAGCGAGGTGCTCCGGAGCACGCCGCCGCAGCCCGGTCCGTCGAACTCGCCCCCTCAGGACCGACAACAACGAGAGGCGGGCGTTCGGGCGCGGGACATGAACGTGGGCGCGTCGCGGCCGGAGGCGCACGCGCTGAAGCACGAGCAGGCGGAGGACGCGCCGCCGGCGCTGCACGAGATGGGGAAGGAGGACGTGTCGACGCCGATCGAGGTCACGGACAAGCGCGAGCGGCTGCACAAGCAAACGGAGGACGAGTACCTGCATATACCCGGGACGTTTCACCACGGAGAGGAAGAGGCTGACGCGAGCGGGCTCGCTGTGCATGAGGGATTGTGGAGTCGGCTCGCGAAGCATTTGCGCATACATTCATGAACGAGGGGACGGATATCGATCTCCGACTTCTGCTTGCCCTAGACGTTGAGGGGTGATATAGGTATTCTTGTTTATGCTATCCTGTGGGCTTTGGTGCTGTTCAGCGCTGTGTGCCGTTTGGTTTGTATGATATGTAGCAACGCGGTAAGATACATTCGTCCAGCTGCTAGACAGCATAATAAACCCTGTTCCTTCTACTTCCGCCGCGCGTATGCTGGCTGGCACACTACATAGGCTACCGCAGCTCGCCGGATTCGGAACCCACATCACACCCTAGTCACAAATATCAACGTGTACCGTCGACCGCCCGAGCTCACAAGCCATGCACACCATGCCTGATAGATGTGGCGGAAAATTATACACATGGGCGCTTCACACCCTTCGAGTGCTGTTTGTCCGCCCAAAAGCTGATCTGACTGAGACGCTGTGCATCTGCCACAGAGCCAGAAATGGCCAGGGATCTGGGACACGTCGGGCCTTGTCCCTCGACATGAGCCAGAAGTCGCTTGACGATTTTCGACCACGACCACGGAGAATGCTCCACTTGCGATCGCTGGTGGAGCGAATTGATCCGGACTGGTCTCAGGACATGCGACTGCGGCTTGACATGCCAGGAAAGAGCTCCGCCATTTCCAGTGTTCTGGGCGAGGATACATAAGGATGAGCGACCGACATTCTCGGCTCAGAAAAAAGGACGACTCACTGCGAGGTCTGGACGGTCTGAACGTCCGTGGTCATCAGCTTTGGTACGACATCTCTGAGCAAATCGAGCTCCGTCTGATCCAACCCATAACACCGTCGCAAGGTAAGCACTTTCAAGGATGCTCGGCCGTTGCGCTTCAGGCTGGACTCGCGTCGAATCGCCAGCTCGGCCCGACATCGACCGAACCAGGGAAATTCGGAGGAATGCACGGCGTCCATAATGTGCAGGCTGATGAGTCTCGGCAATGGTTCCCCCATGGCTTGCGTCCGATGGCGGTGTAAAGCGTTGAAGAAAGCGGTGACCATCTCTACGCCCATCAGATCCAGGTCCCGCACCTTCGTGCAATGACGCAGAATCGCGTGCAATGCGTCTGCGGACGGTACGTGTTCCTGGCCGCCTTTCAGAATCATCAGATAGGGATTCAGGTGCGGAAGACATAGCGTGCTCAGATTCTTGAATATATCGTCGATCGCGGTCGAAAGCAGCTTTGGAAACCTGATGGAAGCTACTTTACAGAGGGTTGCGGAGATCAACAAGATCGAGGCTGCGGGAATGCCGGTCACAAGCTCGACTTGGCCCGGGGGGCAGTGAGGCTTTGCCAAGTTCCACAGGTCCGCAAGGCAGTCCATACTCTCCACTTCGTAACAGACAAGTTCGAAAGACCTGATCCTGATTTGATCAAATCGGAGGTGTCGGAGAAAGGACACTAATTCCTGACATGTACCCGCTAGGGTAACTTGACGTAACGCGGGTAGGTGGACCTCGCGTACAGGGGCAGCAGAGGTAGAGGATGCGAGCACCTTGGGCAGGTTGGCCCCTAAGGAGAGTAACTCGAGGAGAGGAAGTGCTTCAAGCGTGTCGAGGACGTCATCCAGAACAGTCGAGGGCATCTCTTGTGTGAGCTCGTAATTCAGATCAAGATACCTCAAGTTAAGCGTCCTAAGCCATCGTGAGGTCCATGGCAAGAAGGGTGCAATACTCTCCAGGCAAAAGGAGCGAAGGCTCGGCATACGGGTATCCTGTAGGCAATCGACAAGCTCCCTCAGTTGATCGTCTTCGAGGTCATCGAGGTCTGATATGCCGAGCTTGAGAGATCTCAGAACGGGTGCGTATGTCTGAAATTGCTGCAATGTTGATAGAAGGACATCGTACGGCGCACTCAACCATAGCGAAGAGATGCGGGAAGGGTGGTGAAGTGCGATGCGTTTTAGGACAGCTTCGCTTGAAGGACGGCGGACAATCTCGTCCGTGACGTCGTATACGACATGGAGGGGTATAGTAGGGAAACGTTCGCATAGAGCCAGGGCGAGCTTCGGTCGGCCCACGTCCAGAGTGTTCCACAGTTTCGAGGTGCCCAGCGCCACGCTTCTCCAAAATGCGCAAACTTGAGAGCACGGCGGCGACCATTCGGATATCGTCCATGTGCCCCAAGTCGTAATGTCGAGGTTGTCCTGGCTGAGCAACATGATATGGGAGAGGATCTCGCGAGGGAGTCGATTGACGGGCTGCGAGGCGTTATGCTGGGTACGCAAATCGAACATGGCCTTCTGCGCACGTTCACATACGCGTTCGAGCTCTTCGAGTTGACGCCTCCGCTCAGACGAGAACGCTTCGAGAAGTGCATATCGATCTTCAGAATCCAGATAGAAAGGACCCCGTGACCACGAATCGCCAGAAAACGCGCTTGAGGGGTTTCCGACTCCCCCGAAGCTTGCGGAGGGTTGGAGTTGGTTAACAGTTCGGTCGTGGTAAGCTGTGACCCAGTTGTGACCTCTGCCAAAACGTGATCTTTTCGTGACTATGGCTGTGCTGGTTCACGACTTCGCCGTTTTTTGCCCACTCGCGTCCGAGCCCGTTTTTTCACACGGTTGTAAACCGTACAAGCCCCGCCTCGCTTCGCTCCGGCGAGACTTTTGTTGTATCCGGCTTCAAACATCTGGCAGCAAGATATCATCCGAACGCGCTATGTACTGTGCATCCACCCCTAATGCAACATCGCCCCCTAATGCAACATCGACACAAATCCCTCTCCCGTTCCTTTCCTGCTCAGCTGCTCGTCTCGGAAAAAAAAATGTGCTCTCAAACATCTATAAATACTGTATGTAAGAGATGAAGTAGGAGCGAGGCTTGGTTCGGGCTACAGAAAAACATTAGGACTGCTCGAGTGAGTTGATGCAACATGTCGCGAGTACTCCACGGCTTCGCTTCGCCGGATCGGTAACGCAAAATTTATGGAAATATTTGGTAGTACTCAATACATTGTATCCTATTTGCTACGCCATCCCGATTTGTGATTGCTGTAGTAATGCTGCTGTAGGAGGATGTTCAACACAAAGGGTGTTGGCGTGACGGATGAGTTCAAACTCCGCCTGCGTTGATTGGCCTGAGCCGCTTGAGCCCTGCGTTGCGCTGCAGCCTGTCCTAGTTCGGCACCTCGGCAAATCGTGACCGCGTGTGATGATCTCGCAACTTTGGCTGGTGCTCACTTCGTCTCGCCGGCATCTCGCTGGCAGAGTTGAGGCTCAACCAAAATATTTGAGACGCTGGATAACATATCTATAGCATCCTGGCTATCTACTACCAAAGTTTTGGACAATTTTGAGGTGATTTGAGGGAGCGTTGCATTAGGGGTGGATGCACAGTACACATTCTGGGTACAGTACAACTGGTAACTGCTTTCTGAAGAGAGCTGTCCATTGGCAAAGATGCGTGGGCGGGCCCAATGGCAATTCGTGATCATAATTGGTTAAAAACCTGGGAGTCGGAACCTGCGCGCATCGATGCGCGCTATACCCCCACGTGAAACCGTCGAAATCATAACCGTCAGACACGGTTGCGCAACGCGTACGGGGTTGGGTCTCACCTTTGCTGGATTTCAGGCATGACTCTGGCCGTCGAGTCTTCTTTGTAGAATTTGATGAATCTTATTCGACAAAGGAGAGCGCTTCTCGTTTGCAATGCAGCGTCAATATTCCAACCGTAGGTAAGTTAGGTGTTAGGTAACGGTGGTCGTGGCTCTCGTCACACGATCACGTAGGAGTGATGGCACGCGTCACTCCCGGCCAAAAGTCGCGATTCCGCGGTTGAGCGCTGGCTCGAGCACACTGGCGCCGGTAAAGCGAGATAAGAAAGTGTCTACAGCGGCGCTGTGCGGCGTGGCGTGGCGCAGAGCAGCGCGAAACGGCGACAGCTCACGTACACGACCTCCGCTGATACGCGCCTGTTGGACGGTGGGAGGGACTGCAGCGCGATCCCGCAGGTGGACGAAGTGAGCTGCTACAAGGGCGAATGCCGCATCAGTGAGTTGTCCACTCGCGATGTTATGCGAACGAATTGATGCTGATTCCTATCTGCCGCGCAGAGACCTGCCGCGACGGTTACGAGGTGTCGACGGTCAGCGAGCGGTGCCTTCGAAAACTTCTTACTCTCGCAAGTGCTCTCAGTATCAGCGCAGGCGGGCCGTCTGAGTAGCTCGCTTTATTACCTTATTACTTGTCGTTCCGTGATCATAAAGCCTGCATGTGAATATTGTTTCTTGCATGAAGTACCTTTGGAACAAGGTCTGAATCCCCATGATAGCAAGAGGTGTCGCTAGACGAAGAATGTACACCAGAATCAGCAACTAATCCGACTGCTCCATATCCCCGTCGGCGTAATCGGAACGGATAGATACGTTGTCAGACGTGTCAGAATCATCGTCCTACAAGGGAGATGAGCGCTGAAAATCGGGCATGCAACTCAAGCAACCGAGGTGCTCACGTCCGGTGATGGATCCACGACGACCTTCGTCGCCAGCTCCTCCAGCAACCCCAACGCCGTCCTATCCAAACCGGAGCAGTGTGCTATCTTCACGTTCTGCAACGGGGCCTTTCCGTGTCGCAGCGCAAAAGCGTGCCTCCGGATCAGCTCCGCGCAACAGAGACCGAACCACAGCTGCCCCGAGGAATGTTCCGCGTCGATGATTCGCAGCGTGGCGAGGTTCGGGAGTGCAATATGAGAGCCGTCGCCGGCGGCGTGAAGGTTGTGCAACGCTCGAAAAGCGTATTCGGCAGCGCCCAAACCTTTCAGAGAGAGATGTTGGAGGCCCTCGGCGTTGGCGAGAATATTTTGCAAAGAAGACAAGGACCGTGGGCGCAACGTGCCTTCCCGTTTGTTCAGTGCGAATATGGTCGCATTGGAGCTCAAGAGTTGACAAGAACCCAGTTGCTGTAAGATCGAATCACCTTCCTCAGGCGACGCACCATCGAGCGCCAACACGAGAGTGGGGCCGCCGCGTCGTGCCCGACCAGTAGAGCACAGGGAGACGTCGCTGATGTGCATATCGAGTGCGACGACAGGCCCGAGACAGTATGGTTGGGTTTCTTGCCAAATGTCGGCAAAATAGGCTGAGCATTCCGACCAGCATTTCACCTCGAGTTTGGCCGAGTCCGCGATCTTCAAATGCTTTAGGAGAGAGGCGCAACTGCGAGTAGGTCCTGCCAGATCGAGCTCACGAAGGCGGCACAAGTGCACCTTGCGGGAGGAACGCACTGACGGCGCAGTCAAAAGTTCATATGAACCGCCTCTACTCAAGCATAACCGCTCAAGGAAAGGTAAGGCCTCAAGGGCATCGAGTACGTCGTCAAGAGGCTCGTCGTCGCTCTCGTGCATTTGAGAGATCTCTAGATCTCGCAGTTCGAGCGACCGTAGCCACCTGGATATCCAGAGTGAATGGGAGGAGAAACCTCTCATACAGAGGTAACGCAATTTCGAGCAATCGACGCCGGTTAGGCATTCGAAGAAGGAATTTTGATGTGCAGCATCCCAAGGTACAGTTGTATCTCGGGTCAAGTGAAGTATCGTGAGGGCGGGCGCGCAAGTCTGGAACTGACTCATGAACGTATCGATTTTCGGTTTTATCCCTTTGACGTGGAGTACGGAGATGCGAGAGGGGTATCGGAGGATGATCCGTTCTAGAGTCTCGAAATCGGCAAGATTGCGGGACACGTATGTGACGCGAAGTTCGGTTTTCGGGAAGCGTTTGCACAACGCTAATGCGAGTTTTGGTTTCCGCAGGTCGATAAGGTTCCAGAGTTTGGAAGTCATGAAGGCTACCTGGCGCCAAAGCACGCAAACTTGGGAGCAGGCTAGGGGCCATTCCGACTTCCCGCTCAAAAATGGAAGGTCGATATTCCTGTTGTTTCTCAGCGTGAGAACCATTATCTTCGAGAGGATTTCGTTAGGCAATCTGCTAACGGGCAAGGAGGCATTATGTTGGGCGCGGAGATCGAACATTGCCTCGTGTACACGCTCCAGTTTCTGCTTGAGTTCCTTGGATTCCAGCTCGAGACTTCTAAAGCGCTGCATATGCTCGGCTGAGAAAGCCGCAAGAAGTTCTGGGGTGTCCTCCTCACGCAAATAGAATGGGGAAGGGGAGCATGATGCATGGTGGGTTGTACTGTATACATGGCTATGGGTTGAGCAATTCACGAGGATATTCCATTGATTGCCCACATATCTACGAGGTTGTCCATGTTGAACGCGCCGGACTGAACTTGAATCAGGAGGTTCCTATCACGACAAGGGGATTAAGGCAGCTATCGTTAGACTATCTGGTTCTTCAGGGCTGTCGTCCAAGGAGTGTGTGCGGTTGTCGAGGAACGGAGGATGGGAACCGTGGGGAAAGCCTGAACCACGATCACGCGTGCATCAACGGGATCGACCCAGCTGGCGTCCAGGACTTGCCCGAGGACATGCTGCACATGCATGGTACAGCACCTGCTCTGACTGCGAGGACAAGCTGGGAAACCTCTGCCCTTCTCTATACGCATCGCTCCAGGGGAGATCCTCAAATGGTATATTTTCCGTTCCCGTCGGCAATGTATCGCTGGCAGTAGCAAAGTCCTTTCAAAGCGGTTTTGAACGCTCGCATGCGCATCTTAGCCTGTTTCACGTCTTTGATGGACCCGTTCTCTCGCAAACTCTGGGCTTCGAGGCCATGGCCATGACACGTCCATTCTCGCTGCGCACACACCGCCTGCCGAGCGCTCCGGAGCGCGTCGGGCGCGCGTGATTTGCCAATGTATGTCATGATGCGGAACACTCAATGGCGCAAACGGATATTACGCCTGGATTTTATCCTTAGCGCGCATTCCACGGGACGAACGTGGGTTCTGAGGGAGAGCGCTGGTCCCTCGAACCACGGGCTTTGCAGGCCGGCACCTTGTACCCAGGTCGGTCTGTCATGGAAAATGGCGTTCCTTGGGCGGACAGCGATGCGCTTCATCTCATGGGACTACTGCCCATGCAGTGATGCTACGTCAAGGGGTCAAGCCTCGTCGACTGCGGGCCCTGCGTCCCGGATTATGCTGTCCGTACCCCTTTGGCTGTCGCGAGCGGATGACCTGCCGCTCTGTTGCTGCGACAAACTAATAACCTTTAGCCGTCTCCGTGCGCCTGATATCCCCGAGTGCGTTTACGTCCCTCCATTCTCTGGAGTTGACTCATGATTTCAATACGCAGTCCGGCGTCGGTCGCTGTTTCTGTTCTGAAGTTCGCGCCCCGCGTCTCCCGCAACCGCAACCGCTGACGCAGTGCCTGAACGCGTCAGGGATCATTCCAGCGTATCATTTTTTCGTGCTGGACTCTCGATGCCTATTTGCAATGGACGGACGGACGACCCGAGACTCGTATGGTGTACGTCCGACTCGGATATATAAAGGGTCGTCTGCGCCGCCGAGGACCCTCCAGCGAACTCGCCACAATCCCTGACTTCCAAAACACAAAGAACCATGTTCAGCAAGAAGTTGGTCATCGCCGTGCTCGCGCTTTTCTCTGGGTAGGTGTCCTTCGTCGTGCACCACCCACGACTGTCCGCGCGAATCAGGACTCAACTCCTCTCCTCTTCGTCCTATAGTCTCGTCGCAGTCCAGGCCATGCCCAACTCTGAAGCGCGTGATCTCCCGTGCTGCTCGACGTTGTAAGTCGCCGTTCCGCGGTTGTATCCACGCCGGATCCGAGTTGATTGACGATGCTACTCCTCCGCAGCAACTGCGTCCCCGGCACGAAGTGCCTCGTGGTCTGCGACCCGGACTGCTGAGCGGCGTCCTCCCAGACCTTTCATGCATCCAGTGCCAGTAGGACAGGTTATTGCTATCACTCTATAATTGTCGGACGTCTTGTCTACGAGGTTGATTGATTCTTTATACACGGGTCATATGCGCTTATGATGCGTGCGCGAGACACCGTAGAGACTTGGACCACGAGTTGCGACGACCAAGGAAGAAAAACCGTAAAAGACTGCCGAGGCTCACGAACAGTGCAGGTGCACGCTGCCGATCGTTTTTGGCTTGTCTATATATGCAATTTTGCCAACCTCTCACTGCTGTACACGATATATGCATCTTACATGCTATCGAACGAGGGACCCCAAACCACCCCTTCCAGATCGGGACCGAGTCCCAGATCCGCGACCACGTACGGTGGTGGGTAGATAGGTAGACCGTCGAAAGAAAGAAAACCGAGAGAGAAATCGGGGGGAGATCACGAAAACGAGATGCAACGAAAACATGCGTTGAGATAAAGGACGATAAATGGGGGAAACCTGAGCGGGGAAACAACATCTCGTTGGAGGTGCTTTGGGGGGGGGGGTCCGGCCGTCACCACTGGTCCTCGATGTCCTGGAAGTCCATCTGGTCGCGGTCCAGGCTCATCAAGCGCGCGTACTCGAGCAACATCCTGTGTGTGATACCACATATCAGCTCCCTGTCTCGCACGTATAACGAGGTTGAAATCGAAACCGACCGGAACATGTACGCCGTCAAATCCTCCTTCCGCCACATCGTCCGACTCCACTCCCTCCCCGCCTCCGCGATCTTCCTCGCCAGATGATCGTTATCCTCCCCTCCCCCGTACCCGGTAAAGAACGCCATGATGTCCATCACGTCCGAGTAGTCGTTCTTCACCGGCACGAAGTGGACCCACGGCTGGATCCGGCGCGAGAACCACTCGGGGTAGACCGTCGCCTTGAGCACGACCGCGTGGGAGGTGATGAGGCGCTTGAAGCGCGAGGACCAGCCGTTGCCGTCGACGTCCATCACGTACTTGTACCTCCCCGCCTCGCGCGTGTCCATATTCTCCCGCCAGTCGAACATGTCTTCCAACACCGGACACACCTCCTCCGCGCACTGCATCGGCCCGCCCGCAAAGTGGACGTCGAGGAGCGCGTCCCGGAGCGCGCGCCGTTCCACCTCGACCACGTGCCACCCCTGGCCCTCTCCACGCCACCCTTGTCCTTGTCCTTCTCCCTCGGAGGAAGACGAGTTGGCGACCATGAGGCTCACGACGCCCTCCCCCTCCTCTGCCATCATCACCAACCGCTCGCGCTGCGCCTCCCACCACCGATGATCCCCCCCGCACCATATCCCCGTATTGCTCCCCCTCCACAACAGCTTCCCCGCCCTCCTCTCCCCGCCCCTCCCCGCCTCCTCCTCGTCCCTCCTCTCCTTCTCCTCCCACCCCAGATCGCCCTCCACGTCCTCCACCCAGCCCCCGACGCCGGCCGGCCTGAGATCGGCGTGCGCCGCGCTCGTCGAGTACGAGAACTGCGGGACCAGCGGCGGGCTCTCGAGCCCGGGCCCGGCGTGGTGCGAGAGGAACTGGCCGTGGGAGGTGAAGAGGGACGGGTGCGTGCACGGGTCCATCGCGGCGAGGTGCGAGCGGACGAAGGTCCGGGTCCGGTTCGGCGCGGACAGGTCCGGGAACGAGGTCTCGTACGACTCGGACGAGGGCGGGAAGGGCGTGGCGAGCGCGCGCGCGGGCGAGGTCGGGGCGCAGGCGGACAGCCAGCCGATGTTCTCGTGCGGCGGGAGGTCGTGGATGTCGAGGTCTACCAAGGCAAACAAAAAAAAGAGGTGGGTTAATCGGTAAGTAACGAACGAGAGAGAGAGGGGGGGGGGGGGGGGGGGGGGG